AATATTATGCCCCAATTTTATTGTATTCAACTATAATAGCAATTGTTACAAATATCTGAGACTAATTGTAACAAATTATCTACTGAGTTAATTGCTATAAAAAAATAATGTGGGACATTGTATCTAATGTTACATATTGCTTCAAAACTTTTCGTTGCAAAATTTTCAACTAATGTTACGTAATTTTTTGAAGCAAATTTGCTACACGTTCAAAGTTTGTAATTATTTGTAACAAATTACTCATATAAAGCTACAAAATAATAACATATCAAATTTGTAGCAATTGTATCTTTCTGTAGCTAATATTTGCTACAAAACGTTTTCGTAACAAAATTTGTAACTATGATGCCATATTCTTGTAGTGTAACGTCCGTGCACCAAAAAGTGGATTTTTGGTTGGTGCGTCGATCGACACAGGGTGAGTGTGTCAGTCGACATACGTGTTTTGGACTTGTGAGAAGTCGTGTTCTGAGCGTTGCGTCGATCGACACGGGTTGATTTTGAACCAACAGGTTCGATTTTAAATTATCTGGTTCGCGTGGTTGGTTAGGGGAAACCCTAAGGGGCAGTATAAAAAGGGAGAAACCGTGTTTAGGCTGCGTTTATGGGCAGAAAACACTCAGAAATCAGAGTGGAGAGAGAGGATTTTCGTGGGTTGTGAGAGAGAATAAGAGATTGTCGTTTTGGAGATAGTTATGGCTGTTCTAGAAGAGTAGAGGAACGAACAGTCTAATCATATCGTATTGGAGTGAAACTTCTAGGATAAGTTATCCACTCTCCTATGTAGCTTTGGGAGTAATCGGTTTGTCATTTGGATTAGTATTCTGAGAGTTATTGTTGTTTTTCCAAGAGAGATTCGTGCAGAATTGGATCTGCGATCAGTCCACTTCGTGGGAGTTTTCATGTCGAACCAGAAGGAATTAGCGTTGGAAAGGTCTCGGTCTCACGATTCCAGATCATATTTCTGATCATGATTCCGAGGTAGCGTGCTTTCGAAGTCGGCTAGTTGTTTCTGTTTTTAGGAACCCTAATCCGGTTTAAGAAAAACTCCAATTGGTTTAGTTAACCAGTTTAGGTTGGTTCGGTTTGGTTAATCAGATTGTTTTGGTTGGTTAGTTTAATCGACTGGTTCGGTTTGAGTTAACGGATCGGTTTGGTTTGCAATGTTCATCAGGCTAAGGCCCAGAAGTCAGAGGAGCGTTGCCAGAGGTTGAGGTCTAAGGCAATTGATAG